GAAACGCTCGTCCTGGACTCCGCTGCTAACCAATATCCATCATTGCTTACAAAAAAAATAAACTGTGATAATTTTAATTGTACTGAGAAATATAATTAGACAAATGTAAATCGCAAAATCTGATTAGCTGACCTTCCGTGTTACAATTTATAAATGCAAATCTGTACAATATTTCTTGCAAATATATCTTTGAAAAATAAAAAAATATGTTTACTATGACCTCAAAATATTCATCAGCTGTTGTATAACGAGTGATCTAATCTACTTACTGAATTTACATTGTTGTAGAAATATGACCTTCTTGTTAAAATATATATTTACAAACGTTTTGTAGATCAATTATTCCTATTTATTTCATTTCAAATCTCTCTGTCTTTCTTATACCTGAGGTAACTTCAATTTATGAATGTAACATTTCTTATACTGTCAAGTGTTGTAATGAGGTCAACGGAAGATTGTTATAAGGTTTTTGTTTCAGAAGTTTATATTTCTAAATAACATATCGGTTAAAGTGAAATATCACATGATTGATCTGTTAAATCACTTAGTAACAAGAAAGGATACAATAATATTTGGACAATTATCTAAAGATGTGAACCTACAAAATATTCATATAACTTAGATATAAGCTGAGTTTTTTTCACTAAAGTAGCTATACTACCTAATTAAAAGTCGTATAGATAATAAATTAAAGGTTTCAATGAAATAACATCTCGTTATATCGTTTCGCAGACATGTACAGTCGGTAAAAATGTATGGATATGTGGATATCTTTTCTTTTTGTGGACGATTCATTTAAGCACGAATTAAACATTTTTAAAGACTACACGATTTCTAGCAAGCGTAAATTCATTTTTTTATTGAAAGTTTACTAGCATCAACTAAATTTTATAGCATGAAGGAGGAACACTTATAATTGTAAACTCTCAGCGCCCTACGTTTCACTCGACCATGTGATACAAGCTTTTTCAAGGAAATACAGTCAATCATCAAAATTAACGAATCGAGAATAAGTATATGGTTCTCCAGTTACTTGTATTATAAACAGGTCATCCAATCATGTTAACAGTATCGAAAGTAAGAATTTGTTGTAGTATGCATGAGACATTTGGTATGAAAAGTATAGAAACGTGTATTAAGATAATAATTGTATGTATGTACAATTGGATGTAAGCTGAAAGAAGAAATTTTATTGACTACATATATCACCTGTGATCAGTGATTCTGATGAAATCAGATAATTTTATACATGATCTGAGTCAAACATGTCATAGCATGCATAAAATGAAGATAAATAAACAAAATCAATGTTTTATTATTGTGCTGATCAAGTTGATTGTTTATTAAAGAAGGCAATTATGAATTTATCAACAGGAAATAAAAAAAACTATGAATGATCTAGATAAATACTTTGAATCAAATAAATTTATTTTATCACTGCACATATCTAAGATTTATGCATTTCATTTAATTGCAAAGTATTATATAGGATAATTCTACGCTAATAGAGAAATTTCACTGGTTAAGATCATGAGTCAGTTGAAGCTAGACCACCATGGAAAACCTGGAAGCACTGGACGGCCGTTTCGTCCTATTGTGGGAGTCCTCGGCAGTGCGCATCCACGAACTCGCCCTATGCGAGATTCGAACCCAGGACCTACTGGTTTCGCGCGCGAGCACTGCTGAAGAGTCCCACAATAGGACGAAACGGCCGTCCAGTGCTTCCGGGTTTTCCATGGTGGTCTAGCTCCAACTGACTCATGATCCTAACCATTGAAATTACTACAATCTCCACAAAACCCATCTGATATTAATAGAGAAATGTTTACTAAAATACTAAAATAATTCATTACATAATCTTTACAGATTAAGTTGTATATAATCAATGTCATACAAACAAATGACAAGTTTCAATAAACTATTTCCGTATCCATACATCTTAATTACAAAGAGATGTACTGTATAGACTTGTAGGTATCATTACCAAGGTTTGATTTGATAATTTCGAATAAATTGAGCATTGGGTAGTTTGTTATAAATAAATAGTATATTTGTAATATCCCAATGAGTAGAAAAATTAGATTTTCTGACGTTTGATGGCTAACTGTAAGTCACTTCTTCAGAGAATAAATAACCTGTCTTCATTTCTTATAATACACCATTGTATGTTTTGTTTTTTGAAAAACGTAGTTGATACTTCTACTTTCTACTTTTCTTTTCTGAAATTTCTCAGTGATTTGTAATAAAAATCATACAAAATCAGTGTTCCAATAACCCCTTTGAATATTCTGAATGACCTTCAACAATACAAAAAAAAGATGTTATTTTTGTGAAAAAAAAAGAAATCAGTCATTGCACATTTTTTTATTTACTTGACTGTTTATTGTTGTGTTTTGTTTTTCTCTACTTTGACGCTATCCATAACAAATAAATAATGATATCTATTTTGTAAAATGTAAGTATACATTGCATGTATTTTAAAAATATTTGGGTGTAACCAAAGAAACATGATGATATACTACTAATTTTAATACTAACCGCATAGATAATAAATATGATTTTATCAAATCTTATCAGTAAAATGATAAGTTAATATTTTGGTTAACGCCTATCAATGTCATTTATAATTTGAATAATCTTTTTTGCATAGGAATAACCATCATTAAAAAATCTAGTAAATGAAGTTAAATCATTTTAACTATTTATTATATACTGACAGAAATTTTGTTCGCTTCAGTGAAAGGGATCTAATTCGATTTGTTTTATTTTAAACATTATTAAATTTACTCTTAATCAAACCAAATGAGTAGAATCATGTAGTTAGGGATATTTTAAGGATTAAAATATTGTTTATTATTAAATTCACTTGGTGTTGTTTTAATTGTATCTTCTCATTGTTATTTAGGACTGCGATTGATCAGTCTCATGTTGGCATATGTGCATTCTGTATTGCCTTAGGTCACAAGCTTTATGAGCAAAGATCGACAGTGGCTAGCAGTGGAATCCAGGACACGGGTTTCGTCCACGTTGGGACTCGTCTGCCGGATGTACCTGCATCTCAGAGTTGATGTTCACTCAGGAACTCGAATCCAGTACCGTTCCTTTCAAACACTATTGCGTTATCCATTTAGCCAGTGGTAAGATACGAGCAAACGATGTCATGTGAATTTAAACTTCACCTCATTGCACAATTAGGTGGCTATCACGAGTCAGTAGCTAAGTGGATAACGTGATGGCGTTTGGAGTGAATGTTACTGGGTCCGAGTCCCTGAATCAACATCAACTCTGAGATGCAGGCACATCTAGCAGATGAGTCCCAAATAGAATTAAACAACCATTCTGGATTCCACTGCTAACCACTATTCGTCTTCGCCTTAAAAAGATTGTTTACTACTATTATTAGCTTTATTCAATGTTATATTTTTGGTACGACGTAGAATTCTGAACACAAAGTATTTCAACAAGTTTCCTTTTCTTATTTTTTGATTGATCCTGACGATAAATAGTGAGTGATCGTCAATTAGATGTTAGCAGTTCAGTAATTAACATCTGAATGATGTATATCCTTTTCTATGAATATTGTCTCTAATTGGACTCTTTTAAAACTTGTGTAGTAAAATGTCGTAAACGTTTCACAAACGCACCTGAATATGTCATGCGACTGATAGACATAATGATGTGTTAAAACAAACAAGAAAACAGTTAACTTGTTGAAATATCCAGATGGCAGGAACAAGTAGCCCAGGTATTCAAGCAGGCAGCCAACAGAAACTTTTTTCAGTTCACTTATAAGGATCTAATTCAATTCGTGTCATTCTAAAAACTAATAAATTTGCTCTTAAGCAAATCATATTAGTTGAACTACTCAGGATATATTTAATGATTCAGCTGTAACTAATTGATATTCTAATATGGCATTGGATTTAAATCACTTTAAGCTTTTATTATTCATTGCCTAATAACATTCAGTATGAAAAACAAATACGAACTAGTTTGCCTTATAAAATTCAACTGTAATGTAATCGTTTTAATTACAATTCGTTACAGTAATGTACACGATGATTAAATCTGCCTAAACACTAGAAATTGTTAACTCTTGTTCATAAACCTAATGTGATCACTTAATATGATGATTATTCTGTGATACACGTTTGGACTCTGATCATCCTCTATAATGAGCCCGCATTTGTTTATCGGACACAAAAAGGCTGCAACAAGAAATTCACTTAGCCTTCAACATAACGAAGAGCAAATATAGAAGCTACTAGTTAATCCCCATAATGAGGTTCACCTTAGTTGTATTGGGAAGATGTTCAAACAATCATGAAAACAGCAGAGATATCAGAGAACGACGTTTGAAAAACGTTAGGAAAAATCAATGTATTTCAGCAGCTTGTAAAGAATTAACATATGCTCAGAAGCTTATCCCGTCCGGCTCCAAACACAATGAAGATTTGAGGTAACTCGAACATTCAAATGCATTCTTTCTTAATTTCTCTTAGCTCCCAAGCCGTCGAATTCCTTGTAATTTTATTCACTAATCCGTATTTTCTTCTCGAATTGTACCGCTGATACCTAATTTAGAACTCGCCTTGAGGATTTTGTTACCGTACCGATGGAGTGTATCCAATTTTATGTTTCTGGTTCTATATTGTATATGACTGACTGACTGAGTATTATCAGTAGAAAAACGATTATCATATTTGATAAGGGTGATTCAAGAGAATGCTAGTAAATAGTTTTAAAATATATTAACCTTGTGTAAAGAAAGACATGTAACAAGTATAAACTAGTAACGTTTCACAGTAATTTAATTACCCAATTTTCATAACCTGGATTTTTAAAAATTATATTAACTACCCACAGAAAATTTCAGGTATCTATTTTGTTTCGTTGTCAGTGTATGTGGTATATATTTTTAACTGTCTTAGATAAGATGTGAAAAAATGGCTAGAAGAGTTGAAATGAACTGTAAAATATCTTATTTAAACCTTTTATAGAACCAATGTTTTATACTCATGCAACGAAAAATATTCCTTATGAAGAAAAACACATGACGGATATTCATTATCCTACTCAAATAAATACAAAAGATTTATACAATGTTGGCTCCTCATATCCTACAAATTTGAATGAAAGATCACCTTCTACATCAGGAAGACGTAGAATCTCACCATTTGAAAATTATTCATCTCGTCCACGTTTAATAAATACAAATAGAATGTTGCCGAAACCAGTAAGTTATATTACTTATTATCTAACAAAAATATTGATGGTTGAATAACTGAATAATATTACTTTTGGTCTAAATTTTGTCTGTTAACATGAAAAGTTTATGAAGCTTCTTCTCTCTGAAGTGAATTTTTATCACTATCAGACATCATTTCAATCACTGATTGATAACTAGATAACAGTGAAAAGCTATTTTTTTCTTTTTTGAACTCATCAAGTGTGAGCATCATTAACCCAAAACAGGAGCCATACAAATATTTCTATATCTACCAGAAGAAACAAACTTTTTATACTTCTATGTTGGAATCCAAAAATTTATATTTTTTCATATAACTCCAATTATTATCACCGATGGATTACCATTTCAGTTTGAAGATTGCAGTTTCATAAAGAATCATCAGAAATTCATCAAAGAACCGGTTAGTAATAAGTACACAATTGTTGGTCAAATCTAGCATTTGCGAAAAAGTTTTTGAATTGAAAATCGATTTTACTACGAGTTCATATTGATTGCAGTCATGTAGATTGTAGGAATGTGTAATTGCTTTATGATAAAATCTATATAAATGTTATTTGAATATTTGATTTCATCCCATTTCTTTACAACCGATACAGATTATAATAATCATTTTATTTATCTTCACTATATAACAAAGTGTTTTTTAAAACTAAGGACAAATACTCTTAGAAATTCATCTATGATATCCTATTTAATAAATAAATATTAAGTGAAATTGATCGAAGAAAAAACTGAGATTCCTACACATATTCTTAACATTCAACATGACCGCTTCTTGAATCAACTAATCTAAGTTGTGTTGTTGTTGATTTTTTTCAATGATGATATGCGGAAACATGTTAGTAATTAACTATAATCACGAAATCAAACATTGACTAATAAAATCACTTCATAATTTTTCTTTGATAAGTCACTTTATGATGGTGACATTAATAGTTACTTCAATCTTTACGACATTAAATTCTGATCCACACATTGTATACCATTATGTTTGTTTATAATTTAATATACATACCAGTAAATTTCTCTCATTCAATGATAGAAACGTTTTTGAATTATCAATCACTACAAAGGGATAATCAATTAAGCACCAATAACATTCGACTAATAATTCCAGAAGAGAAAAAAAAGACTTTTGTCAATATTTCTTATGTTATCATTACTCTTTTGTACATTATTACACTTTCACATAATAAATACTTTTATGGTTGAATAATCATTTCAAAAGTGTAATAATACACCCATTGACTATATGAAAAATATTGTTGCACACTCATATATTTAATGATGGTTGAATAAAGATGGAATAACCTTTTCAAAAACAACACCAAACAATCTTATTGTGATATGCTGTTCACATATACTCAATAGAGATTATTTATTATATATATTACCACCTCTGCATTAACTACTTTTATGAAACCGGTGTCCATCTTGTTGTGCTAATGAGGTATGACAACTTGGACCGATGCATATATGTGCTTGGTCCTACGTTGTAGCTGACTGACTGACTGACTGACTATTATATTGGATAAACTCAAAATGATTTTGAAAATTTATCACTTATATGATTTTGATAATAAACTCCAGCAGACTTTGGATTGAATCATATTTCTAGATAATTAGTTAAAAATCAAGTTAACACATTGAAATCTTATGTTTCATATGTTTTAAATTTAACCAATTAGTGATACTAAATAATGACCATTAAATGTTATCAAGTATGATTTAGCTTAAATTCTAACAAAATTCTGGTAAATTCTGTCAAGAAGATGTATAAGCAAAGATGGGTGGTGGATAGTAGTGTAATCCAGGACGTGCGTTTCATCCTATTTAATACTCGTCATCTGGACCTACCTCAACTCCATAGTTGATGTTCACTCCAGGTCTCGCACTCTGCACCATACGCTTCAAACGACATCGTGCTATCGACTTAGCTATTGAGTCCTGATAGCCACCTGATTGTGGAATGGAGTGAAGTTTAAATTCACTTGATATTGTTTCCTTGAATCTTCCCATTGTTGTTTTAGGACTGCAATTGACGAGTCTCTTTTTGGCATATGTGCATTCTGTACGGATTGCCTCGATATTGCCTTAAGTCACAAACTTTATAAACAAAAATGGATGCTAGCTAATCAATTGCTGTCAAGAAGAATGTCGAAAACATGATTGATCTTTGTTGAGGAAAGTTCTACCATATTCTTCAGTCTTGAGAGTACATTTTCGAACTCAGTTATTACATGAGTTTTGTGTCATTATTTAATTCATCAACTAATTGTTAGCTGCTTCTTATCAACATCTTTATATGATTTGTATTAATATTGAACATTTAGAAATCAAAATTATACCAACAAAAGAAACTTAGTTGACCTCTTCTTCATCATGATCTTAATCTATAGATTCACAAATCATTATCCTTTCCCCTGTTTCATTCTTTATTACCATTTTCATACCCAACTGACTTACTTCTGTTTTATGCTCTTTTTGATTCGAATTCGTTTGATCATGTTACGCAACCCATTTTAACAATTATTATCATTATTATTTATGTTCTGGCTAAATATCCATGTTTCTAACAACTGCACTTTCAATTTTAGATTAATCGTTTTATTATTTTCTTTTTTGTCATACATTGATCAAGTTGTATCCATTAAATTTACATTCACTTGTATACGTACAAAGAATGTGATAATCTTTTCTTAACATTAACACAATCTTAATTACTTAAACTAATAACCATCATTTTATCATCTGATCAATATATCTTTATTATAAACACAAATCCAGGTGGAATAACTTTTCAAAGATGAATGTGACTATTATTATTGTCTAGGAACTATCCCCTGACATATTTTTTTCTCGTAACATCATTTATTCTATTTTATTTTATAAATGATATCGTTAAATGTCTAACTAAGGCTTATATTAAACTTTGACTTGGTATATTGAATGTTCCCTTAATGTAAGTTCATGGATTAGTTGAAGTTGGACATTAACACCGTTAGATACCGACTCAGTGGTCTAGAGTCCATCGTTCGCGCGCAAGACCGACAGGTCCTGGGTTCAAATCTTGCGAGGCGAAATCGTGGACGCGCGCTGCTGAGGAGTCACAAAATAGGACAACACGGCCACCCAGTGCTTCTAGGCTCTCCATAATGGTTTAGCTTCAATTGAATCATGATCTCAACTATTAAAATTGAAAATTTAAAGATTATGCGTCTATAATTCTATGGAAAATTACTGATTCACAACCAATATCATACTATATTGTTCTGAGTACAGTTTTTACTAAAAAGCTATTCACTTGGAGCCATGAAGTATATCTGCCATTCTTGATAACGTATATCCAATTGTTTCAAAAAGGTATTAATTATTTAGCTAAACAAAATAACTGGACAGTTTATGGATAAATTTTACTTAACGATCGGTTAGTGCATATTTTGATAGGTAAATGTTGACAGATAGTTATCAATATAAAGTATATTCTTGGACTTTATTTGATGGAAAGCAGATACGTCTCTCGAATCACAAAAATCTAATCGATTTATTTCATCGTCTAACAGAATTAAGAGCGATGCATTTAAACTCAAATTTAGTCAAAAATCTTTATTTAATAAAATCTCAAAATTTAAGGTTAGCATTGTGAAAAATTCTTTATCTTAGATAGTGGCTAACGTTGGGATCAAGATTATTATTTTACAATGATATTGATCACTTTCGAAATAATTAACAGAACTGATCAACCTTTCTTAACATCAATCACCATAGTGGATACAGTACTAACCATTTGAAGATCAAGAAAACGAACCCTTTTTTTTCTAACAATACGTACTCATCATTATTTGTTACTAGTACTCATAAATATTGTTCGTTATCAATGTGTTCTTCACTCTCTCTTTTTGTTACCTAATATATTATTCATGAAAGAAAATGTCAAAACAATAGAATAAATCATGCATAAATAAAGCTTGAGAATTATTTGTGATTTTATTTGTACAGTCTGACAGATACATTTACATTGACAGATTAAAAGTCTAATTTGTAAGCCATAAAATAACAGTATTTTTATTTACAATCGTTCTCACTAAAAGTATACCTAAATATAAACACATACACGTATGTTAACATACATGAACAGTATTGATAAACAGTGTAGAAATCAGTGTATTTCTCAATGGAAAAGTAACTATACATAAATCATGCATAACATGAACAAATACCCATCAATATCGCGTATACATGGTATGATTTATCAACCACTTGCTAACTATTTAGCTTACATAACAGTTCATAAATACAAATTTCCATGGTAATTGCGATTTCAATATACATTTATAATATCAATAAATTTTTCATGTATAAACCAACTGACCAAAGTTAGATTTATAAATAATACCATAAGTTTATGAAATATACTTCTTCATCATGTAAAATACATTATTGAATAGAAGATTTCTCATTGTTGAGATTGGGAATAATACTAATCTTATCTGAACTGTGCCAGTATTCATATTTTAAAACAATTAATCTCTTTGATAGATTTGGATAGTACAATGAGTAAGCGAAGATTATTAGAACCGTGTGATCTATTAGAGCTATACATTTCATATGATCTAAACACAGATGTACTTGTTAAAAACATATATATATATATATGAAAAATGAAATATCAGCTAAACAAATGGAAGTTAAGAGAAGACAAGTAATAAAGAAAAAAAACAATGTAAAACTTACTAATCTGGATAATAAAATACTATAATCAAGGTGAATTACGGTGGTAACAAACTGTTTTCAGATAAATAAAAGGGATCTGAATTTTCATACGGCCAAGACTTCAATAAAGCTTAGTTTGAGCCACTGAACATTTTTGAACAAAACTATAAGGAGCGAATCCAGATCAATCTTATGACCTCATTCAACAATGTTTATCGGTAGAGAAGGATGAATGGTTATCATCTACTACTATTGTACTATTTGATTTTATT